CCCCCGTTTGGCTCCCATTAAATTTCATTAAATTATATTCCATTTTTCTCTCTCATATTTTCAACCACTCAATCTTTCATAAAATAATATTACACGTGAATCGAAATTTTTTCCTTCTTTTTCAACCACTCATTTTTCAAAACAACACTATTCCACCCATTTTCATTTTCCGAAAATGGGGGCCAAACAGATACTAGTGGGATTTACTTAGCATTGTTAAATTTCTGAATTTGCTTATTACATTGTGCATTTATGATTTTATTATTATTATTACTATTTTTTTGAGATTTTAATTTACACTCAACTGTCATGAAGTGCATGGTTTCCACTTGAGCCCCAGAGGTTTTTGTGCATGGTTTCTCTTTGACATTTAATGCTGAAACTGGATATTAGATATTTGCTGTCTTCTCTCTTTAATATTTGTCCCTTGGCCTACTATATTTTTTAACCTGTTAAATTTTCTGGATAATTTCTGTTGGGCTGCTTTTCAAGGTGATTCACTTGGTTGGCATTTTACGTTGCTTTGTTTCTATTAATTTATCATTTCAGAATTTCGTTATTTTTCTACAACTTTTTGGTTGATTGTAAGACAGTTTAGTTTTATTTACTGAATTTTTTATGGTGCATCTCTCTGGTCTTGTTATAACAGTTCTATGCTTTTGACCTTATATTTTTTTATGTTCGCAAAGAGCAAGGATGTCTGAGTTTGCAAAAGTTGTCAGTTTAGAGTTTCCACTGGGCTAAAAAGTTCACAATCTTGATAAAGGAAACTTTTAGATAGTTGAAAGTGCGAGGATTTCTCTTTATCGATGATAACTGAAAGCTCTCAAGGATGACTGAATTTGCAAAAGTTGTCAGTTTAGAGTTTCCACTGGGCTAAAAAGTTCACAATCTTGATAAAGGAAACTTTTAGATAGTTGAAAGTGCGAGGATTTCTCTTTATCGATGATAACTGAAAGCTCTCAAGGATGACTGAATTTGCAAAAGTTGTCAGTTTAGAGTTTCCACTCGGCTAAAAGTTCATGTTCTTGATAAAGGAAACTTTAAGATGGTTGCTAGTGTAAGAATCTCTTTATTGATGATGGCTGAAAGCTCCCAAGGTTGGAAAATAAGATAGCTCTCCTGTTGCTTTCTCCTGATCCTTGCTCGAGTAGTATCTAATATGATCTTGAGTTTTCGTGTATAATTATTTTGGACCAACAGGAGGGCCTTAATATTTTTCGAATTAGCTCTTCTTGCTATCGAGCATTGAGGTGGGATCCTTTATTCAATAGATAAATTTCTTGTGTCCACGCTGGCGGATAGTATGCGTAGAATCTGTGAATTGGGTAATGCCCCTGTCTAGATTTCTTGCTGATGCACTTGGTGTGGTGACGATTTGTCTTGTTGTTGTTCTGGTCCTTCTGGGTATATTCTGCATCGTGTATTCGTTTTACTTCCATGATCGGATCCATGGTCAAGGTCTTGTTCGGCTCAACTACTTTAGTGGTCCTTGGATTATCAGAATTACATTCATCTTTTTTGCGGTTTGGTGGGGTTTTGGAGAGATTATTCGGTTAAATCTGTTGAGAGGGGAGGGAAGAGTCCTGAATTCCCTCAACTTGAAACGTCAGAAAACTGTTTGCAAATGCTATGTTGTTTCAAATCTCGGGTTTGCCGAACCATGCCTGATCCTCATTCTCATATTTCTACTTCGTGCAACCTTGCAGAAGTCTGGAACATTAAGCCGGAGGTGGAATGCAAAAACAGCTGCTTATGTGCTTCTTTATTGTCTCCCAATATTTGTTCTTCAGGTGATTGTAATTCTAATTGGAACATGGCATAACAAGGAGAGTTTTGTGCACAGATTACCTCCTTATTTCACCAAGGCTTCAGCTTTTTCTAAAACAAAGGACAATGATAATGTTGCCCTCTGCACTTACCCTCTGTTGAGTACCGTTGTCCTTGGTCTTTTTGCCACCCTCCTAACAACTTACTTGTTCTGGCTTGGGAGACAAATTCTTCATTTGGTCATCAATAAGGGTTTACAAAAGAGAGTGTATACACTAATCTTTTCTATTTCTGGTTTTTTCCCATTACGAGTTCTTCTTCTTGGATTATCTGTGCTATCAGAGCCGGATAAACTTTTATTTGATGCTATTTCATTCTTAGCTTTTCTTTCCTTTTTATGTTGTGCGGTGGTGGCCATCTGCATGCTCGTGTACCTCCCCATTGCAGATTCTTTAGTCTTGAGGAGTCTACAAAGAGATATAGAGGCTATGAGGTTTATTGATGAATATGATTCACTAATTCATAATGAAGGCCCTTCCAGAACAAGTATGCTCACTAGTCCTGGGAGAAATTCAGCTTCTTTGGAAAGGAGTGGATCGATATCTTTTCGTACGATGGTAAAAGATGAAACCTCTGGGGCATTTGTGGATGTGAGCCTATTTACTCCTAGTCAGCCTTCAACCCCATCCGGGTCACCTAAACTTGTTGGCTGGCCTATGCTCTCACCTTCATAACTTCATGGATCTTAAAAGCTAATGAGGAGGGTATAACATTTTTGGGGTGAATGAAAACTCTGTAAAGGATTGCTGATTTTGTTTCTGTAAAGGATTGCTGATTTTGTTTCTGTAAAGGATTGCTGATTTTGTTTCTGTAAAGGATTGCTGATTTTGTTTCTGTAAAGGATTGCTGATTTTGTTTCTGTAAAGGATTGCTGATTTTGTTTCTGTAAAGGATTGCTGATTTTGTTTCTGTAAAGGATTGCTGATTTTGTTTTGTTATTGACATTATGACATAGGTTTGCTTGTTACTCATCTATGCTTTTTTTTAGGTGGATCTCTTGTATCTGTATCTATCAACAGTTGACAGTTTTATAACAATTAGCCTTTGTTTGAGCTCCATTTTAAAGAGAAATTTTGGTAAAATGTATTATGGAATAATATTTTTTGGGAGAACGTGTAGCTGAAAAAGAAGGAATTTCTTTTGATTTACGTATAATATTACTTTATTGAAGAATGTGTGATTTAGAAGAAGGGAAAGAAAAATGTATAAAAATTTTAGAGTGTAAAACAGGGGATTAAGTTTGCTTTATATGTGACCAATGTCTTCAGCTTAGTATTGAGTGTGATCTTGTGCCATAAAAGATAGCTTCTACTGGAGAGACTCGAATGGCATTATGGTCTCCCGTCATTGTTTTTTGCATCCTGAGTCCCCAAACTTTGAGTTTGAACAATTGCTAAAAAGTCTGTCAACTAGCCATGTGAATGGCACATGACCTCTTCTTTTCAGACCATGTTAGGGCCCATTACCTTAGGGCTTGTTTGATATTACTTTTGAGCTCGTTTGACACGACTTTTGAAAAATTAAAATTAGCATTTGAAATTCAAAAATTATTTTTGGACCTGTTTGGCGAATTTTAGAAAAATATTTCTTTTAGTTAGAAGAACTTTTAAAAAAAGTTGGTTTAACATAACATTCTTTAAAAATACTTCCGAAAGATGAATATCTTTTAACAGGAAGTAAAAGTAAAAATAATAATACTTAGGGTACATAATAGACACTATAACGGTGTTCATAATGCTCAAGTGGCGCCCCTTATTGGAGGGACAGGTGTCCCCTCACATTATGGACACCATATCCCTCCAATAGAGGGGCGTCACTTGGGCATTGTGATGTTTATTATGTTCAAGTAGAATAATTCAAGTAAAAATTATGTCAAACGGCTCTTAGTTATAAGTTTTATAAAGTGTGTGATAATATACATTTGCTTAATTAGAATTTAAGTAGTGCCAACTATGCTTTGTAATTTATTCAAAGACAAAAGAAAAAGAAAAATATAGAGATTAAAAAGGTAATATCCAAATGTTTTGAAGGATGAATAGTATAGTCATATTAATAATTTTATGGATTCAATATCCAAATTATGGAATTATTAAATTTCTAAATTAGGTATTTAAGAGCATAATAAATGATATTGACTTCTTTTCCTAATTTTGGAAATAGTTATTAATCTTCAATAGTTTAATCTCCTGATAATGTCATAATTAGTATATGTGATAAATTGATAATGTACAAGTATACTATGATAGTCTTGCTTCTCTTTGATACGAGGAGCGGAAAATTCTCGTAGAAAAAATTGAAATGAGAGCAATAGGTGTTCCACGACAGCTAATAAATTCTATTTAAATTGCTTTGTAACCAGTTTTTTGTTAATTAAAGAATTAAGCACCCGTCCGGCCTTCATTATTTCACACTATAATAAGAGAAATAGTAATCATTTGAAGAATGGATGAAATTTTTTCGATTTACGTGTAATATTATTTTATTAAAAAATATACGATTAATAAGAATAGAGAGAAAATGAATTATAATTTACAAAAAATCTATTTATACATCACTTTTTTCACATCAATTTTCACGCTCCTCTCACAAAGGTGGGATCCACTATTAATTTAATCGTGGACTCCACTCACTTTGCATGTGTGTGTGCTGTGAAAAAAGTATACGTATAGAATGGTTGTATAATTTAATAGGGAATAATGGGAGCCAAACGGGGTTAAATGTGGGGGGATTTTTCTAAATGGCCTATCACTATTCATTCTTGTCAAAATGTCTATAATATCCTTAATGAAATGGCTTGTCATATTTTGCGCAAAATATCCTGATTTATTGGGATAGTTCCAAAATTCTTCTATTTCTTTCATTTCGAATTTTAATATATAGTTCCATCATTTGATCTAATAAATTAGCATAATCTGTAATATAATTGTCATATAATTCTTTAAGATTATCATATTCCTTAGACGATATATCTATAGTTTCTAGTTGAGAAAAAATACTTTTTATTTTTTCTAATAATCTTTCTAACAGATTATCTAGTCCCTTAATTGTATAGC